GGCAAGAGATGAACAAAGGTGGTTTGCCATTTCCTGCCTCTGCACATAGAGCCTGGGCCTCCTTGGTGGTCTCCCATCCAAGTATTAACCAGGGCCAACCCTGCTTAGCTTCCATGATCTGACAAAATCGGACTAGCCTGGGCCATCCAGATCAGGGTTATATACCATGCACCAAATTTGCCTGCCACTTCTGTTCTCCTCTCCCCAGTCAGAAACAGAAACTGCCTAAATATCTAGACATGTTTAACATGGGCAAGACATCCAGGAAAATCTTGTGTGACTAAGGAAGAAAACAGAGCAATTTTACTTAAGACTAGAAGAGGCAAAAGGTTAAATAGACAGACAGGAGGGAGAGTAAGCAGGGTAGACTTTGTATGTCTATTGCAAGGATGGATCTAGGAAACAGGAGTCCACAACACCTTAAAAGGGAGGCCAGTTGTAGTCTTCTATGTGGTCTAGAGTAGCAATGCAGAAAAGCTTATGTTCTGTGTGTGTGCACATGTGCCTCATGAATCCAGGTTCCTCCAAGTCCCTGAAAATGAAAGACTTCTATATAATTCCTAACCCCTTAAACCAAAACATCCTTTTCCTGAAGACCATGTGATTCTAAATTTTTAATTCAGAAAAGTATGTTCAACACAGCATGACAATAAATCTTTGACAACTGGTTGTTACAGAAGAAATAGCAGGGTTTTTCTTAACAATGTTCTTCTGTTGACTAATAGGAAAATCAAGTAATTCTCAAAATAAGCATTTCACTTCTCTGAAACTGAACACATAGCCCACTTCTGTAAAATATGCTCTGCAAATCTGCACACTGTATGCAAATAAATACTTTATCCTATATTTTGTGCTATAACCAACAAAATTCACTCAAGTACAAGCTCCTTTTAAGTCAACATAAAATCAGTGCAAGTATGAGGGAAAAGAACCCCACAACTCTCCATGAAAATAGTAGATGTCACTTAGTGCTCTCTATTCCTGCTAATGCTATTATTAAAACATCTGCTGTAAATACTGTCAATCGGAAAGGGAGAAAGGGAGAAAGGGAGAAAGGGAGAAAGGGAGAAAGGGAGAAAGGGAGAAAGGGAGAAAGGGAGAAAGGGAGAAAGGGAGAAAGGGAGAAGTTTTTGACAGAGGGTTTTTTCAGTCTGATTAGTTCTAGCTGATTTCATATTACAATTTTGATTCTATTTATATATTTATGTTTCCTCATTTAACTTTTTGCTAATTTTACAGAACAATTTTGGAATCTTAACAAAATGAATACTGATACATTGTGATTATGGCTGCTCAACCTTTGGTACATTCAAAATTGTATTTTGAATTTCTATTCCTTTGTCTGATGTTAGAGAATAAAATTTTGGCCAGGTGGGAAAATGTCTGCCATTTTATTTCTTTAAAAGCTATATGCCTATGAGTTACGTTTGTCATGATAACTTTTACATAAACCAAACACAAAGAATGAAAACCAGATTTTAAAGGCTAACACTAAAAACATTGAATGTACTTGTAGGATTGGAAAGAAGGCACTACCACTAAGTTTGAGGAAAGGAAACAGTTTCCTATCAATCCTCAAAAGTGGGTCCAATAAAAATGTATAATAAATCCTCACTTTGGAAACAACCATATCTAATTTCGGTGGAGCTAGCCCAGATTTTAAAACAATCTAAGAACAACACTAATCTGATCTAGAATAAAATAACAATGAATGACTGCATAGGATTTAAACAGTATGGATGCAAGAAGGTGAAGGTTAGTGAAAAAGAAATAAACATTTAAACAATAAAAGGAAAGAAGAAAAGAAACACTTCCTGTGGTGCACTTGGAAAAGCACACTGCAGAATTCAAAATATTCACACATGAAACTAAGATAAAGTGTTTAGAAAGTGTTTTTTATCATTCTAGTGGGACACAAATTTAAAAAAATCATTATTTTATCAAGCCAATCCAGGTAATTTTTAATTTTGTCTTTAAAAATAAAATGTATTTATTTAAAAACTACCCCACCCATATAAAAGTAGAATTGCATTCCAAGGCATTTTTAAAGAAAATCCAGTTGATGCTGAATGAAAGTACAGACTTTGCTAGCTCTCATCTTTATTGCCTGCCTCTAATAATGTTTATTATTTCCCCCTGAATGTAGAATTTCCACAGCAGTTCTGATGAAGTGAGGATCTCAGCTTTCCACTTTTAAATATATTTATACCTTCTCAAAGGGTCTGGAAAATTTCACAGAGAAATCAGACAAAGTTCTAAAACTATGGAGAAGAAGGGTTGTAGCTTTGCTCCTGATTCCCATAGCCAGCAAGCAGAAGGTACAGCAATCCTGCTGATGTTAAGACGTCTTGGTCTGGCCAGTGCCTGGATAGGACACCTCCTGGGAACAACTGCCCCGCCCCCCCAAGAATGCCACCCTGAGTTCCATGACAGAGGACAAGCCAGGATATTAATGTAATAACTTCTGTAGAGGTTTAAGAACTGAAATACTCAGTAATTGTTTACAAACAAACTTTTCAGTAATAAAATTTCAGAGAAAATTAGGCAAAGGTCCATAAAGATCACAGCCCTTATGTTCATAAAGTAATATTTGCAAGTGTGCAGGAAATGCCTGGTGAAATCTCAGAAGCCAGAGAAGTAGCTGACCAAGATTTCCAGTAGTTGGCAGTGAAACTTCAGAGTTCTCCAAAGCTCTGCGCCTCTGGGCTTGGTGAGCAAAGCAAGAACATGAAATATTCAAAGTAGTAAGTCTTTTCTAAAACCAGAAGAATACTGCAGGGCTATTTTTGGGCAGGAACGCACAGGAACGGAGTTCCGGCTGGCTCCCGAGTTGGCCACACCCAGCAGGAACTCATTAGCATAATAGGCCACATCCAACAGCAGAAACTCATTAAGACTGGCTACATTAGGGGTGTGTGGCCTAACATGCAAAGGAGTTCCTGCTATAAAGAAGCCCTGGGTTTTGACAACAAACAAGGTAAACAGCATAAGAAGCAAAAGGTGAGTGTGTCTGGATGACCACACTACTGCGAACATGGGGTGTGTGGCCTATTATGCTAATGAGCTGTGCTGTCAGGGGTGTGTCCTAATAAGCAAATGAATTTCTGCTGTTGGGTGTGGCCTATTATGCTAATGAGTTCCTGCTGGGCTTTTTCTACAAAAAAAGCCCTGGAATACTGTATATAAATCTGCTTAATTAAAATACAGAGATTGCAGAACTGGATTTTATTAATGCTGGAGCTGCATTGCCTTGGCAAATAATAGGTTTTTTATATATGCGTATATATACACATGGCCTCATGTATACATACATGGCTGTGAGTTAAAATCAAACCAGGGCTCAATAGCTGTCCCATGCCTGCTCTTTGACCCACTTATTTTGATTGTTAGGATTGTTTAGTTATTTTCAGAAATTTTGATCGTTTTCTATACCATCATTTCTGAAATTCACAGTGGTAGCAGGTAATCAATGAATAACAGATGAATTGCGGGGTGGGGAGGTTAAAAACTAAGGCTGCAATTCTATGCATGCTTTCTTAGGAGTTAACCCCAAGTTTCTGAAGTGAGATTAAAGGAAGGTTAGGTCATCTCTGTATTAGCTTGATTGCCCCATGACACTGAAATGACTGGCATTTCAAGATAGAAATCTTTATTAATGGGAACTGAGAGGTGCTTCTGAAGTCCTCAAGTACAGACAGACAGAAAGTCTTTTCAAGATATCAAAACCTTCTTGATCACATTGCAGTAGGTTACAGTAGGCTTTTTAAATATGAGCTCTTCTTGCCAAAGACAGCAATGTGGTGGAAGAGACGGCGGTGACTGCCCGGCCTACATAGCTCCAGTTTTCATACCCACCCACCCCCACCATAAGAGACTTTCCAAAAAGACAGCACGGCAGCTCCCATTCTGCTAGCAGAAGGTATAGGTTTTAGCTACTGCTTTTACTGGGTGCACCATAGGAAGTTCAAAGGAATAGCGGAAAGGCCATAGGAAAAGCAGAAAAGCACCACAGGAATAGCAGAATGTTCCAAATGTCAATTGTAGGCTGTGTGTGGGGGGGATTCTTTGAATTTAAACCTGCCCTTTGCTTAATTTTATCACATGCTTTTTTACTTATTTTATTCTATTTATTTTACTTATATCTCTATCCAACACTGTTCATCCATAGATTTAACACCCTTTGGTATCCATTATGATAGAAAATTAATGTCCCTGAAGAGGTAGTAGGGTTTGTGTCAGATTTCACAAACAAATCTGTTTATTATTGATAGGCATGAACCTGGTTCAGGAACTCTCCCCTCCTGATTCCCCTCATGGGAGGCATCTTCAATCTAATTTCAATTAGAAATGTCATCCTAACGTGGTGTCTTATTTCTTTCATAATAACTAGATACCTTAACTGAGGTGTGATCCTAGTTAAGAATCCCAATTACTGCAATAAAAGCAAACCTCAGTTAGTAAAGGTGCCAAGTAGTCAGATGCTACAATTAATTGTTAGGCCGAAGAGTGTTCCTTCACCAGTAAGTGGCCCCTATCAGCATGGAGGGCACATTTCTTAAAATTAAGGTAAGAAATTTTTATATACTAGTCAGGAATCATTTATAAAATACTGAGAGTGATCCAGTGAAACTTAGAAGTCAAATGCATGCTTAACATTCTACGGACCACACCATTCTCTGCCATCAGAACAGAATGGCAATAAAATGATGAGAGCTGGCAATTCTGGATGTATTGATCCGTCTGTGAAAAACAGAAGAGTGGTGTGTGGCAGCCCATGCCATAAATTTTTCCATTGATCAACTAAGAAACGACACTGCCAAAGCAGCAGCTTTTAGAAAAACAGTAATATAAATCTAGACAGACAAATATATAGAATGCTTGCTGGTAACATGTAACAGAATTTTCAGTGACATGGATAAACACAAACGAGCCATCATACTCCATGGACCAACATGACCCCACCCACCCCTTTCACAAGCATCTACCTTAACTGCACTCACCCGTTGGAACGTTTGTCCCCTCCTCAATGTGGATGGGCAGTGCTGGTTCCTCCATAGGGTGAGGCACTGATAGAAAGTAATGAATGATGGTAGTATTTGTCGCAAAATGATGATCACAGTAAGATGACGCCTTCTTAGCATTACTTTAACAAATGAGGTGGCGATGGCAATGAGCCGTCTACTTTTTCCAACGAAGACTTCCATACTAAGAAACAACTGACTTCAAAATATTTCACATGCTTTGCTGCATCTGGTGGTCACAATCTTGAATTCTCTTTGAGAATTCATTTCTGTTTAAATCATCCAATTCAGTACTTGGGCACAGCTGTCTTGGAAGCATTTGTGGCTTGGATCTAGCAGAGGATGCCCACAAATGGATGGGAGAGTCATTTTTGCCAGTTCCCCCCTTCCTGCTGTAGACCCTATGCTATTCCTGGGTAGGGGTTTCCCCCCCCCCCCGCCCTCCAGAAATAACATTTGAGATTTCAGGCTGCAGCAGGGGTAGGGTGAGGCAAGGAAGTCCTGCTCTGCTGACAGAAACCCATTTCATTAGCTCAAAATACTACTGGAGTTTTATATACTGTTCTTACAAATTAACTTTGCCAAAGAGAGTTTTTTTTATTTTAATAAGCTTTGATTTTTTAAAAAATATTACAAACTGAGAATCAGATATCATTCCAAAATTATTTGGACCATTTTAGACAAGCATTTTAAACAAGCCATTATTTTGTAACTCCCTGGAGTTCACTTAGCTCCTATTTAAAAATTCATGCTCTACAAGTCAAAAGGAGCCAAAGCAATAAGCCATACAAAGATTATGAACAGAAAGAGACGTATACATCAAAGGTGAGCCTTCTTCTGTTATGTGCAGATGCAAGAAAAAGAAGCACCAGCATTTCAAATTTGCTACATGCCAAAGCAGGCAGTACAGACCCACACTGTATGTATTACATGGAGTCCACAGGTTGTACATATGTGATATGCACGTGTACAAGAGTAGACTTTTTTGTATATTTTGCTCCTGCATTTCTTTGCTGTATCCCATCCCCTTTTTCATATGGACCTGTGAAAAAGTATCATGGCGGGGAGGAGAAAGAGACAGCAATTTTTCTCTCCTAACATCTTGCCCTCTCCCACTCATGCATCCTTGCCCCATACAACCAAGGAGATCCATGCACAGAAATAGGCCGCTTTTACTTCTGGACTGGGAATTGCAGAAATAAATCAAATACACAATAGGAGCACAGAGGCTGTCTTCTCCGACTACACTGGCATGGATCCAAATATCCCTTCTGTGAAAAGGACACTTCTGCTCATTCTACTCAGACGTCTTTAGTTGAGGAGGCCTACCAAGTCTCCTCTAGAGACACCCAGCGCAGCTGCCCTACTGAAATCCACAGTTCTTAGCACAGAGAGGCTATGGCTTCCATTCGAAGGAAACGAGGTTTGTGGAGGGGCTGTCTCAGTGATAAAAGCATATGCTTTGCATGATGCTTATTTTTTATTTATATCCTGCTTTTCTTTCTGGTTGGGGCTCAAAGTGTCTTTCCACGTTGTTACTCCATCCTCCACTTAATCCCCACAACACCAACCTTGTGAGGGTAGGTTAAGCCGAGAGACTCTGATGGGCCCAAGGTCACTTGGTGGGCTTCCATGGACGAATGGGGGATTCAAAGCCGGTCACCTCAGGTCCTATTCTGACACTCTACTCACTATGCCACAGCAGGGATAAAGGCATGAAGGAGGTCTCAAGTTCATATTCTGTCATCTCCAGTTTAAGAGGATCAGGTAATAAGCGTTGTGAAAGACCTCCACTCAGGATCCTGGAGAGCCACTGTCAGTTAGTGGAGACAATACTGAATACTGACCTTGGTAGACCAATGGTCAGACTCAGTATAAGGCAGTGTCACAGGTCCACGTGCAGGATTGGAGGATGCATGCTTGAAGTTCTCCAAGACCTACTACTTTCCCTTCTCCTGCTGTGGTCCTTTACAATGCAAACAAACAAACTTCCTCACATTTTAAAGTATACGGGAGAAAGAAATTGGACTTGGAGAAAGTGAACCTTAGGGTGTGTTTCTCTCGGGTCTTGGGAGACGGAAGTGGCATGGGTTCTCAGGCCAATTCCACCTCCCAAAAACTGTGCCATAATGCAAGGTTCCTGTGGGATGGCTGAAGCTTGGACTCAGAAGATACATACCTGACGGACTGCTTGCTTCCCTTTAGCCTATCTCTCAGTTCTAGTGGCTGAGGCCTTGTGACATTCCTGGCAACAAGCAGCCTCAATGTATTTAATAAGCAGGCACAGGGGAACTCTCTTCCAATCTCCTTCCTTCCCCTTTCACCTTGTAGGCCACTGAGGTCAGCAAAGTGGTAGTAAGGCTGACCTGTCTTCTAACTACTCAGTGGTGCAAGGCAGACAGAAGGGAAGGACAGGAATCCTTCTCCTCAGGCATGCCTAGCCATCAGCTATGCTGGATGAGGACAGAGGATGCAATCTGCATATTCAGTAGAACCTACATTCTGGATTACGGTAGAAATTCATTGGGGGAAAGCAGCCGGTTTGGAAACAGGTCATCTGGTTGAGCAAACGAACAACAGACTTCAGCAGTCCGAGGAGGGAACTTCTACTGACAGATATATATATATATATATATGTATAGCAGCACATTGCATGTACAGAGATGCACTCAACTTTCCATATGATATCGCTGACCTTTTCCAGGGAACAGCAGGATACAGGCAGGAAACTGGGATTGGAGAGAAAACTTCCCCCTGAAGTTCATCATCCAGACACTGCTGCTGCCACAGAGCGAACATGGATTAGACTAGGCTGGCCTGGAGAAGGGGGCTCAGGTTCACTCTTCCATGGACCAGTGGTGGCAATTTGTGTGAAGATGGGCTGGAATCTGTGTGAGAGCTTTCACCCTATCTTGCAAACTACCATGCAAGATACACTGAATGAGTGTGGGCAAGCTCATTTCCCTTCATCCAGGGATAACTGTGCAGGGATGGGCTGCTGCTTTTCCTTCCAGAGAGGCAGGGGTGGGAGGAAACTTTTCCCCATGTACCCTGCAGATGATGATGCAAAATGGGCTTCCTTGTTCTCCTTCTCTTACCCACTGCAATGAACAACATTCTCTGAGTTTTTCCATACTACTCCTAAGCTCTCAGTCCTCACCCCCCAAAGCTGCCCACTTGGTCACCATTGGCACCACTGACATAAGTCAAACCACTGGGAAGATCCTAAGTCAAGAGGGGACTTTGAGAACAATAAATGGGTCACCATGCGTGTCACCTCTATGTATATATTGCCTCTGGCAAATCAGCAGGGAACACTGGGTCCATCTACATGTTGCCTCTTATAAGACAGCATACAAACTCGTGGGCACTCAATGAAACTCATGGGCACTCAATGAAATTGCTGAGCAGTCAGGTTAGAATGGATAAAAGGAAGTACTTCTTCACCCAAAGAGTGATTAACATGTGGAATTCAATGCCACAGGAGGTGGTGGCAGCTACAAGCATGGACGGCTTCAAGAGGGAATTGGATAAATGTATGGAGCAGAGGTTCATCAGTGGCTAGAAGCCACAAGGTATAGACAGGAACTCTCAGTCTGGGGCAAGTGATGCACTGTATTCTTGGTGCTTGGGGGGGCAACAGTGGGAGGGCTTCTAGTGTCCTGGCCCCCCTGCTGGACCTCCTAATGGCACCTGGTATTTTTGGCCACTGTGTGACAGAGTGTTGGACTGGATGGGCCATTGGCCTGATTCAACATTGGCTTCTCTTATGTTCTTATGTTAAATGAATTCACTGCCATTGGATCTGAAATCTCTCGGATCAAGCATCAGCCTTGTAGGGTAGGCACACCCATACATCCAAGGGATGAAGCTAAATGGGTGAAGGAGAACTCCTTGATCATCTATCTGTACCTTACTGTTTGAAATGAATATAGGGAAAAGCCCTGGCAAAGGGAGGGGCAGGGCGAGACAGCCTCTTTACTCCTTTCTGCCTCATCTCATTCCTCTATCACAATGTTTTGCAGATCCTCACTGGAATTTCTCTGCATCTGAATACACTGCTAGCTTAAGGTGACAAATAAGGACATGGTTTAAAGGAAAGGCAGAAATAATTTATTGTTCAGATTACTGTGTAAACACAGAAATAATCACCTATGCAGGGTATGCTGCACAAGCGGCTTTTATTCTAAAAGCTCAACTAATAATTCAGCCCAACAATAGCAAAAACGAAAAAAGGTACAACATAGGTTTTTGCTATGCATTAATCAATTGTTATTATGCAGGAATAATGCAGCGCTGTAGTTCAATGTGTGTTATTTTAAAATAAAAAGCGTATTAATTTACGACAAGTTGCCCGATGCAAAAGTTCCTGGGGTTACCATTATACAAGGCAGAGTGCACACAAAGAAAATTATGCAAAATTAAATCCATACCACAAAGAATGCAGTAGTTTCCCACTCCAAGGCTTGATTTTGCTGTATCAGAACAACATTCTATAAAGAAGCCTCATTAAATGCTCTACTATATTTTACAGTTTAAAGTGGGGCTATATTCCAAAAAATGGTTCCATGTTTTCAAGAGGACCTTGGGTATGTTTTCTAAACAGCAGCCCTGCATACTGCATGGTCAAACACTTTGAAATTGATGGGAGAGAGACTCAAAAATACTCAGTGACATGGCAACAGGATCACTTTTTTTAAGGTTAAAGATCCCACCAATGTACCCAGGTACTTCAACTCAAGTATCTCTTTTTTTGGGGGGGGGGATCGCTTTGGAACCTGCCCCTGTTTATAAGCAAGCCAAATCCATGAGCAGTGTATAAAAATGTTTACCACAACATAATGTTCCATTTGGTCTAAGTACCACAGTCATGTGGTGTGTGTGTGTGTGTGTGTGTGTGTGGGACATTTAGTATAAAAATGAAGTTTCTGTGGTCATGTGGCCGACATGATTAAACGCCGAGGCACAGGGAATGCTGTTACCTTCCCACTGAAGCAGTACCTATTCATCTACTTGCAGTTTCTTGCTTTCGAACTGCTAGGTTGGCAGAAGCTAGGGCCAGAGATGGGAGCTCACTCTATCATGCAGCACTAGGGTCTCAAACTGCCGAACTACAGACCTTCCAGTCTGCAGATCTTAAGCTCTAAGCCATTGTGGCCCTGCATTTAGTATAGAGTGTTGCAAATGTTCTCAAAACATCTGCAACATTAACCAATGATGGCTGCTCAAATCAGTTCTCTCTTACAACCTCATAGTAAGAGGCTGGCTACTCCTTCTGCATGAATAATTGCCTGTCACCTCAAACTGCCCTAGGATGCAGGGGTGTACACAGAGAATTGGCAGAGTTTTGGGCTAGTAAATGTTTACACTTCAAGTCTTCAAGATTGTTAACAAGTAATGCAAGAAACCACTGAAAAAGCCTGTAATATCTAAGCACTACTTAAGGCCACGCAAACACACACACACACAACCAAAACCAATTTTGCACATAGTAACTTGGATTATGGAGCAGAATCCAAGATTTAAAAAAAGCATATCTTGGCACAGTAGCAGGGGAATCTTATACATTCTATGTTGTTGTCTTACACTGTTTTGTTTGTTCTGCATTCATGGACAATTTTAAACGTTATTCGTTCTCACACCCCTTTTAAATAAACAAAGAGCAACAAGTACTTTCTTACTTCTTTTTAATAATCCATCATTGAACATATAGATTCTGAACATCTGAGTTGCACTGCTAAAATTGCACTGATTTTGTTAACGAGCATAAATGACACTTACATGAAGAAGAGTCTCTCCAGAATGGATTTTCTCTTCCTGTTTCAGAAAAAGAAAGAAATAAAATAAAATAAAACAAACAAAAACAAAACAAAACAAAAAAAGACACTGGTGGAGAATATATGGATGTGAACATAAATGGGCCAGAAAAGTGTAGGCTGTGAACATTTTTAAAAACTTAATCAGAACTCTGGAACACAGTACTGATTCTGTTGATAGGTGACAGGTTTTCCTCTAACTTTCCACTTAAATATTCAATGTAACAGGCCACAAACAATTTCACCTCAAACTGCCTCAAAGGAAAGCAGCATACAATGTAACACATGTGAGCTCCCACACCATCCCCTACCTTGATTACCTTCCAGATTCTTTGTTTATGGTTCATGGATCTTTGCTTAAGAGCTCCATTTTTTACCATCCCTGCTCTAACACTGAAAGGTCTGCAGGGGCCTATAACAATGAATCTGAACTTTCACATTTGATCATGGAAGGCTGCAAACCAGCTTCTTTTGTCCCACAGATAAAGGAGTTTGTGGCCAAAATCGTTGGTGGTTTCCTCCTAGCCTGCCAGAGCTGTGGGAGGATAGAGGAAGGCAGGAAGGATTGCTGAATCTTTCCTTGGCCGAGGGCCACAGTGAAGTTGCAGTCTGTGACTAACTTGCAGCTGAAGTTATTACAAGTAGCAAAATTAAATGGTAATGAGGTGGCCGAGTTCTGACGTGACTGAAAGGATTGAAGGGGAGGGATAGATTCCCCCCTCCCCTCCCACCACTCTTCTAGATTAATAATTCCCTGTACGTGGAACACTATCAGTAGGGAAAAGGCTAGGATAGAACCTTTTTTTCTGATGGACTACTTTTCATTTGCAGAAATTTTTAAATATGGGGGAGTATTAAACATGTGATTCCCTCTCCCCCAGTCAGAAAAGGTACAGCCCATCTGATAAAAGAACCAGCAGGGCTTGGCTTCTCATTCCATGGAATCTTGAACACTGCGGCTGCACTAAGATGTCAATTTAACAAAAATCTGCAGAGATCTAGCTCACATATGTGCGTGGCTCCTCCCTCTTTCCTCCATCCTTCTCATGCACAGTGCAATAAAGGAATGGTGGTTTAAGAATGACTATGCTTATCCATGATATACAAATGCGGACATGTGGCTTAAACAGAGTTCGGCCCCAGTCACATGGGCCGGAAAATGCGGGGGGAAGCGTGGCTGTTTGCCCCGGAGCAAGCTAACGTGCGACCACCGGATCACATGTCCCGCCGACGTCCCATGGTTCGGGGGGAGGTGCCAATCACACGACAATCCTGCGGCGCGGCAAAGAAGCGGTGCGATCACAGCAGCAATGGCTAGGTGCCGCTGCCGTGGCAAACGGGGTTGTGGTTTTTTAAAAACCGAATTGTGCGCATGCACCGTTGGGTGCTTGTGCGCATCCCGTGGAGACTTGGGGAAAAAACCCTTTTTGCGATGGGACATGGGCGGGTGCCGGATGCCACGAACTATGACCAGAAACGCGATCAGACACCCGCCCTTGCCCCTCGGTTTCCAGAAACTAGTACCTCGGAGGTACTAGTTTTTTACGCCACATCTTCGGCGGGAAGCCTCGGTTAGCCACGGGAGCTCTACGCTTCCCAGATGTTGCGATGTGATCGCGCCTGGAAAATCCGCCTATCTTCCATCTCTGTAGCGTGGCTAATGCTCCGTGTGACCGCATTTCCCTTCCACTAACCAGGATCCTAAAGAAGGATTAAACCCTAGTTAAGCATCCCAACTTGTGGGGTGAGGGAATCAACGCACCAGTATTCATCTTCATGGGTAACTGGAGTTGAGTCTTAAACTACCATTCCTTTACCATGTCTTATGACAGTTTTTTGTTTGCATTGTTTTCTAATTCTGTAATGATAGTACTACTGCACTGTTTATGTGCTGTCCAATTGAACTGTTATCTATATTTTGTAATCTGCCTCAAGTCTCAGTGAGAAAGGTGGGCTATAAAACTAAATAAATAAACAATCATGTTCTGTGCAAAATGGGTGACAAGGGAGAAGCCAGGTGTATGAAGGAATCAAATTTCACTATAGTTAAACTGGGCATCTAAATGAATCCTGGCATAAACTTTCTTGGTACTCTTCTTCCATCAAGCTATTCTTTTTGGCTACCGTGGGAAATAGATTAGACCGTGTGATGCATCAGCAGAAGGCCCTGATAGTTGTGGATCTTTCCTACATCCCCCTTGCCCTAGCAGGCTTATCCAACCCTAGAAAGGTTTGGGTTGGGGCAGCCATGTAGACCAACAGCCATATGAGTCGGGGGGCTACAGTGGGAATGGGGACAAAATCGCTGTTTCTGCCTTTTCCATCAGTGTAGAACTGCTGACAGAGGAGGAAGAAGGGAGTGATTTTGCCACCTTTCCCCTTACTCTCTACAGCCCACTGACCTGCATGGCCATTAGGCCAGAGGGGCCCAGTGACCCTGGGAATAAACTCTCTCGAGGTTGGAAAGGACTGTTAGGTGGAGGAGAATACAGGACAGATAAGTGGTCCTTGTGTCCACAGATCACAGGATCCAACCCAAGACACTCAAGTTCGAGCACCTGCAGCTTTCAGAACAGCCTCTACAAACCCCTTGCTGAGCTCAACCTCCTGAAAGCATAATGATGGCAGCAAAACTATGGTGGTGGCACTGATTTAGGTGAAAAGGCAGCACAGAACTGTTTTAAATAAAATGAACAGATAAAACTCAATATGAAAGCTATATCCATAACTGAAAAGAATTAATTCAGTATGCAAAAGATAATCTAAGTAAACTTGCTTTTTCTTCAGCTGAATTATTAAATACTAAAGCCTTTATGAAACCTATAAAGTTTATATCAGGTTACACCAGAGAAGAGTCTTAACCATCAAAGGACAGCTGAGACACATGGGAAACAACCACGTTATAGTCTGGCTGATCAACTAAGAACACAAAGCATTTACTTCTACTGAAATAAATAGGCCAATGCTGTCACACAAGCAAAACCACAAAGCAAAGTCGATAAAAAGAGGACAGTTTTCATACTCTACAGAGAGCAATCCTAAGTAGTTCTACTCAGAATCCAACTTGGGTCTATTTAATGGGGCTTACTCTCAGGTAAGTGCTTTTAGGATTGCACCAAGATTTAGTTTTAGTTTAGACGTGTTGATTTCTCCAAAGTTTACTTTTCGGTCTTTGAAACTTGACAGCACAATACTGATTTAAAACACATTAAGATTTAACATGTTTGGAAAGACAGAACACCTGGATATTTAAGCAAAGCATTCTGTCAGTTCACTTCAATTATTCAACAAGGCCCAATCAATAGGGTGTACTAAGGGCAGAAGCATCTACCACTAATACTCCCAACATACTAAAAGGAGTGGTGCACCTGTTATTTCATCTTGCGAGCACAAATTCAATCGTCACACAAGTGGTAAATAGTGTGTTTACTATAATGAGCTGTAGCCAATTCCAAATTCAGCACACAGGCATATATGTGTAACAACAACAACATTAATCTGTGAAGAGGCCTTTAACAGCCAATAGTAAGTTTATGTGGTGTGAGGTAATGGACCCTTCTTGATTCATTAGAGAATGCCCTTGTTTGCAGCGAGGGTGGGGTTCGCGTGCTGCTTCTGCAAATCAACTGTTTGTCATGAAGCAAGCTACTTCTATAAAGAAAGCCCTCATTCCTAGTTGTAACTATAAAACAATATTCCTAGATGAAGGCAAGCTGACTCTGTGTGGTTGCTGAGAAAGGGAGAGGCAGTGGACAGAGAAGGCTGGTTTACACTACATGTGAACAGCCTTAAACTTGCCTCCAGGCAACATTTTCAGTAATTGCTGGAAGAGATTATTCAAGCATGTTTGATTTTAAAAGCAGAGCTGGGAGGGGAGGAGAACAAGAATGGAATCAGCCGGAACTGAAAGTATCAGGAGATGCTCATCGAAGTGTGTAGACGGATTTGTTACTTCACAATCTAAGCCATCCTCGACATCTATTTATGAAGTCTTTGCTCCCAAGGACCATTTAATTCATTATTATCTAGAGTATCTAGCGGCAGGAAAACTGGTGAGAGCAGGGGAAAGCAAAACAAAGGTAGGCAGGCTGTTGCAAACTTCTTTTATGTAGGCCCAGAGGTCATTTCGGGGGGATTGCGGGGGATCGCAGTTCCCCCGGGTGAGGTACGAGGGGCGGGGCACATGACGAAGCCCCGCCCCCTGCTTCTGGCCACCCCACTTCCGGCCCTCATTCAGCCAGGAGGAGGCAGGAGAAGAGGGAGGGTAAGTTGCTTCCTCCCTGCCTCTCCCCTGCAAGGGCGGCGGCGGCCGGGACCATTGGGGGTGGGGTGTGTGGCCTTATGACACACTTCCAGTGATGTCAGGGGGTGTGGCCTTATGACACACTTCCGGTGATGTCAGGGGGTGTGGCATATGCTAAGGAGTTATGCTAATGAGTTCCCCTAGCTCTTTTTCTACAAAACGTCCCCTGTGTAGGCCAGTCACTTACTAGAATTTTTAAGTCCCTGTTTCATGTTCCTTTTCATTTCCAGTGTTTGTGTGGTCAGTGGTGTGGAAGTGCTGAGTCTGAAGATGTGAGACTCATATGTGAACAGGGGCTCAGCCATGATAGTGAGATGTTTTGGCTGATTGGTAGGTGATTGGTAGGATAAAGTACAGAAATACTAAATCATTGTACAGTTCCAATGAAATCATGAAAATACGTTTCTAAAAGAAGCAAGGCTATAGTTCTTTGAAAACATCATGTCCACTCATCCCCCCCCCAAAAAGCTAAATGAATAGAAAATGGATATAAATTAAAGAAGGTATTAAAAACTTTCAGCTCTCACAGTTCCAAGGACTGCCTGTGATTCTTATAGTTCCTGCCACTCCCTCCTTCTCTCCATTCTTTGGAAATCTCACCTCTACACTGGTCTCACCTCAACTCTTACTCCATGCCCCAGCTTTCCCCTCCTTCTGTTCCATTCAGCCCACCCCTCTGACAATGGTAGTTAGGAGAA